GGCTTTGTGGTGGCTACAAGAAATAAGGTCACCCTCTGCACAGGGACACGGAACCAGCCCCAAGCGTTTTGTTCAGTAAAAAGAACATCTGAAAAACAAGTTCTATAGCCCACAGAAAACAAAGCCAACTATTCTGTAAGATCTGTGTGTGTGTGTGTGTGTGTGTGTGTGTGTGTGTGCGCGCGCGCCCGTGTGTGTGATCTTTGGGATATGAAGCAAATGAAGGTGATTTTAAACAATAGGGTCTATTTATAGGAGCATTCCTTTCTTTAGACTTTATTGAGCTTTAAAATAACACAGGCTTGGAGAGCACAGCAAAGTGTCAAGAAGAAAAAAAGGAAACCATAGACATCCCTCTGCCCGGATTAACTGGGCTAAGGTTTTAATATATATACTAGAGGCCTGGTGCACAAAATTCATGCACGGGGGTGGGGGTGGGGGTGGGGGAGGTGATCTCTCAGTCCAGCCTGCACCGTCTCCAATTTGGGACCCCTTAGGGGATGTCTGACTACCAGTTTAGGCCCAATCCCACAGGCCTCAATCAGCAATCCAACATCCCTCTCACAATCCAGGATCACTGGATCCTAACTGCTTGCCTGCCTGCCTGACTGCCCCTACTTCTGCCTGCCAGCCTAACTGCTCCCCTGCCAGCCTGATTGCCCGCAACTGCTCTCCCCTGCCAGCCCAATCACCCCAAACTATCCTGGCCTGCAGCAACCTGCCTCCGCCCCCAGGACCCACCTCCGCCGTGCGAGGTGGCAGAGGCGCCAGGACCAGCCTCCTCCACCCAGTGTGGAGCCTCCGGACCCCAGGCCTCACCTCCTGGAGCAGCTGCTGGGCCCCGCCTCCGCTGTGCACATGGCCATCTTGTGATGACATGAGGGTGTGACGCCTCCCAGGCTATTATTAGTATAGATCATTCCAGTTTTCTTTCTGTGTGACTGTGTGTGTGTGTGTGTGTGTGTGTGTGTGTGCATCTATATAAACATAGAGAGGAGCGTGCATTGAAGAACATGAGAATTCTGCAGCTAAACCACGTAGAGGCTTATTTCTCTGTCACATGAAATCTGGGTCCCAGTAGGCATGGTGGCTCCGTAGCCATGATTTCCGGCTCTTACTCTGCGTTTCCCGAATTATTCTCGACCCCTGGCTTCCTCCTCATAGCCTAGGACAGTTGCCCCAGACCCAGCCATCACATCTGCATTCCCCCCAGCACGCAGGGGTAAGTGGGGGTGGAGGCCCTGCTTCTGCCTTTTCAGTAAGTACACCGCCTGGAAGCCACACACGTTATTCTTGGCAATGCCTGTCTGAATGTAAACACATGGCTGTTTATGCCTCAAGGAATCCTGGGAAATGTGTTCTTTACTCTGGGTTCCCAGGCGCCTAGCTAAATAAAAGCCAGGGGGCTCCCTTCGCTGGCTTGGCTCAGTGGATAGAGCATTGGCCTGTGGACTGAAGAGACCCAGGTTCGATTCTGGCCAAGGGCACATGCCTGGGTTGTGGGCTCAGTCCCCAGAAGGGGGCGTGCAGGAGGTTGCGCAGGAGGTTGCCAATCAATGATTCTCTCATCATTGCTGTTTCTATCTCTCTCTCCTCCCTTCCTCTCTGAAATCAATAAAGAAATATATTTTTTAAAAATAAAAAAAGTCAGGGGCTCTAGGATAATAAAGAAACAGGAAAATGGACATTACTAGCAGGGCGTCATTGTCTCTATACTAACATCTCTCCTCAGCAAAAGAGAAAGTTCTGTATCTTATCTTTCCTTCTAACCATTGAACCCTGGGAGAGGACAAACCCCCCTTCCCTCAGCCCAAACTACAAGTTGCAATAGAGCGACTTTCTTCAGACACACCCGGAAGCCAGCAGCCGCCAGCAATTTCCAAATGCAAGGCATTGCGTTTGCCAGGGCACTTCCCCCAGATCTGACCTTTGATAAATGTATTGAGAAAACCAGAGAAGGCCACCCCATTGCAAAACCAGAATTGCAAGACAAGGTGTGTGACAAACCTCTGGTGAGCGAGTTTCAGCTCCTCTACTAGTCATTCTTAAAGCGATACGTTAGACTGTGTGTGTAAATCACATCCCACTGCAAAAGCACTCATTTCCCACTCCTTCTTCTCACTCCAGAGGAGCGTGTGTGTGTGTGTGTGTGTGTGTGTGTGTGTGTGTGTTATGGAGGGGAGACCATGGGACTGGACTGAAGTCTTCTATTTATCTTTCTCTTTCTTTCTTTAAATTTATTGATTTTAGCCCTGACTGGTTTGGCTCAGTGGCTAGAATGCTGGTCTGCAGACTGAAGGATCCCAGGTTCGATTCTGATCAAGGCAGGCATGTACCTTGGTTGTGGCACATCCCCAGTAGGGAGTGTGCAGGAGGCAGCTGAATCAATGTTTTTCTCTCATCGATATTTCTAACTCACTATCCCTCTCCCTTCCTCTCTGTGAAAAATCAATAAAATATATTTTAAAAATTATTGATTTTAGAGAGAGGAAGGGAAGAGAGAGAGAGAGAGAGAGAGAGAGAGAGAGAGAGAGAGAGAGAGAGAAAGAGAGAGAGACATTGATTTGTTGTTCCACTGATTTATGCACTCATTGGTTGATTTTTGCATGTGCCCTGATTGGGGATCAAACCCACAGCCTTGGCATATCAAGACGATGCTACCCAACCGGGGCAAATTTTTCCATTTCTATTTGAAATATTTCTGTTTCAAACCAGAAGACGATGAGCCAGAGGAGGCCCTTGATCTCCACCTGAAGCCAAGGTTTCCTTGACTGGTTCACGTGCTTTGAGACCCACGCCTCTGACACAGTAATGCAGAGCCTAGGTGGCCCGGGCCCACGTCCTGGCTCTGCCACTCACTGGCTGTGTGACCTCAGCCAAGACACCTAACCTCTCTGTGCCTCAGTTTCTTCAGTTGCAAAATAGCGCTTGTAATAATAGAAAGTTATTTTTAGGGCTTCTGTGAGATGGTTCAGTCAAGTCTCAGGAAGAACCCAGGGCATGGGGCTCTTCCTCAGCAGATGACCACAGGAATGCCCCCGGCCCCTGCCCTGGCATCTGGCCAACTGGGCAGGCTGGCAGTGGGGAGGCTCTGCAGGGCTGTAGGGTTGATGGTCCCCAGGGTGGACAGCAGTGAGGATGAACAGGGTTGCTGCTCCCTCTTCGGGCATTGCCGTGCTGACCAACCTGGAGGAAGCGCGCTGGTCTGGTCCCTCCCGATTCCCTTCCAGAGGCCTCCGCGGGCCTCTCCTTCACGTCCTGGCCTGATTGTACATCTCCAAGCTCCCGGGCCCCTTCCTCCGGGATCAGCGTGCAGTGTGGTACCTCGGTCTTTGTGCCTTCCGTTCGTTAGACAGAAGCCTGGACTCAGAGCGCGGGTCTGTGCTCTCACGTTGCGGTCCGTTTTCTGGGGCTCTGGCTGGGTCCCCCCATCTGGACCACCGCCAGCACACTCCCCGCGTGCAGGGCCTGGGACACACAGAGGCTCCGGCCCTATGCTGAAGCGTTAGAAGATGCTCACGTCAAAACAAAAAGGCCTTGTCAAACGGGAGGGAGGCGCTTTTAGCATCCCCGCTGTCCAGAGGAGGAGGCAGCGCTCACGAAAAGGTTGCGATGCCGTCAGGCGTGGTGAGGGAAGGCAAAACCGCAGAGAGGGGCGTGGAAGGGAGGCGCCTCCTGCATATACTGTCGCCTGCCTTCCCGCCTCGTCCTTGGCAGCAGAGGGCGGCCAGCTCCGTATGGCACATGCTCTTCTGCATCTGCTCTCCGTGTGTGCAATCCATCTTGGAGCCTCCTCCCGCGTCAGCAGAGAGCTTGTTCATTACGGACTCCAGCCTTCTTCCTGAGCGGGGATGCCCTGAAGCCGCCTGCCGCCCTGGTGAAGGTTGACACACACAGGACTTTGCCCTGGGTTCAGAGGGAGACACCCCTTCCCCCTTGTCTTAGAGCGTTTCCTTTAGAAAACCCAGCGCCCCTCACCCGGCCTACCTTCAGTGCTGGTCTCCCAGCTGCAAACCACCTCCCCTCCTAGATATGGGTTTCCCCCCCTGTGGATGAGGGCAATTAGCTAACAGGCAGCCAGCCCGAACCAAAAGGTGAATTCAGGATGAACTGTGGCAGTCGGTGCCGTGTGATGTGATCGGTTGTGTCTGCCTGTACACAGAGAGGGTTCCTCCCCGCCTCTGCAGCTCATGGACGGATTGCCTGTGATGTGCACCAGGACTGCTGCTCATTCAGTAACGAGGCTGTTTTCTTTCTCTTCTACCTGTACAGAGGCTTTCTGGGTTCCTCGGGGACTTTAACACATTAAGTGCCAAGCCTGTTCTGTCTTCCTTTCGGTGCAGCCCGCGACACCCCGTCTCACCGATGCGCTGGCGGCACCAGTGGCGGACCGGTCCAGACGGAAAGGGACTGACATGGCACTGACCGTGTTAAAATAAATGTTGTCTTCAGCATCTTCAAACATCTTTCTGCAGAGTCCTGGGCATCTCCGCACAGTGGGACACTATGCAGTCAGGACAAAGAACACAAACGCACTCTTCATTGTCATTGCAGAGGCAAGGTGCAAGCGTCGAAGTGAGTCCATCTTTTTTTTTTTTTTTTTTTCTGTAAAAGGACTCTATCTGTGTTTTCTCACATTGGCATACTTTCTGGAAGATCAGTGAGGGACTAAGAAAAAGTGCTCGTGTGTGTTAAGAGGAACTGCGTGGATGGGGGCGAGAGGAGGGATGGGATTTTCTTTTTTTTTTTTTTTTTTTTTGCTGAACACCATTTTATATTTTCTGATTTCTGAAACATGTGACTATGTTATCTATTAAAAATAAATTAAAAGGGAGGGGTGGTAGCAAGCCAACTAAACAAACCACGAAGGAAAGAAACCCCAGATCCAGACATCCTCTCAGCATTTGGTTCTGTTCATTTCTGAGCTCAGTCTTGACCTTGAAGTCAACTGAACGTGAATTATGTTGGTACATTTTCAGGGTTCTTGGTGGACTTTTTCCTGTAAGGTGGACCTTAGTGTAAAAGCAGGGAATGTCTTTATTAAAAAAACAAAAAAACAAAAAACACACACACAAAAAATAAAATAAAAAACCATCAGGTAAAACAACGGTCACATTGCACTCCTCCCTGTGCTCCTCCTCCCTCCAGGCCGCAGCCCTGCTTCCCAGGGTCCTCGCTGCCCAGGGTCCAGCCTTGCTGGGTTGGGGGTGGGGCACCGGCTTTCAGAAGCTTGGTGTAGCCCCTCCCCCATCGTCTCTCTCTGCCTCTCAGGAGGTCATGGGTCAGGACGGATGATGGGAAGGGGTGGGTGGGGCACAATGTCCCTCCATGCTGGGCATCAGGGAGCCCGAGATTCCACCATTAGCCGCGTCTTCCAGAAGCTCCTCGGAGGACAGTGGGGAAGGACATGGGGCAGGAGTCATCTCTCAAGCCCCGGCCCCTGTAGGCGGTGTTGGTTGTCTCTCTTGTTACTACTGTTGGGCATTAGATCAGGAAGTGGCCCCGGCACTTTTGCCACCCGCCGGCACCTCCCTCTCATCCCTCGGCCAGGCGCATGAGGTAGGTGCTATTGATCATAATCGCCGTTTTGTGCATGAGGAAACACGGGCACAAAAAAAATCTAGTGACATCCCCAAGGTCGCACAGCTCGCCCTCTTGGCTGCTGCCCTTCGAACACCCTCGAGCTGCCTCCTGCTGGGTGCTCCAAGCCAGTCCTCTCCCAGGCGTGTGGGAAGGACGCCCTGGAACAGTGGGATTGCAAGCAAGGTGACTCAGAGCCGGGGGAGGGCCGTGCTCTGCATTTCCAGGCTCCCTGGGAGGGAGGCCTGTGGAATGAGTCACCTTAAGGAGGGGAGCTTGTGTTGATGGTCCAAGTCCTCAGGCTCCGCCTCAGATAGCCCCCCAAGACTTTCCCAGTGACCTTGGGCCCTTGCCTTGACTCCCCGGGCTCCCAGGTGTCCATTGGCCTAGGCGGGGCACTGCAGGCTGCAGAAGTCCGCCGAGGAGAAGAGCCGCCACACGTTGACCAGCGGGAACATGAGCAGAGCTCCCAGCAGCGAGCCCAGCTGCACCGCCGCCCCACACCACAAGAGGGCGCTGCGGCTATGGTCGCGCAGGATCACGCCCAGCATCACCTTGACATAGCTCAGGCAGCCAATGAAAAGCACCCACGAGGCCACCTGCAGGGACAGGGTGGGAGAGATGCAGAGTGCAGGGGGCTTTGGGGCGAATCCTAGAGGCCAAAGGTATAAGATGACCTACGGTAATAGGGATAAGGTAACCCTGCGATTTGAACCCTCCCCAAGGGCAAAGGAGAGCCCAGCAGTTACTCCCTTCCTCAGGATCAAGTCCAGGGCCTGTGGGAGAAAGCCACTGCGGACAAAGACAAGGTGGGAAGGGTGTGGCTTTCCGAGGAGAGCCTGAGCCATTACCTTGGACCGCCTACCTTGCCTTCCCAAGTCTCCTTTCCTAAATGAGAAGCAACCCCCTCCCCACCATCACACCCCCCCCCCCCCCCCCCGCCACCTGGGGCTCCCCAAGGGAGCAATCAGAGACTGCTCAATAGAAAGGGCTGTACCCCGTGTCCCCCAGGCCTGTACCCCGTGTCCCTCAGGCCTGGCCCGGCGAGGGCCACCTGTGGGAGCAGATACTTACGATGGCGACTTCTCCACCCCAGTGGCCCTGCAGGAGGGGGCAGGGGCTCATCACCGCCATAGCCATGTTGTAGGTCCCAAAGCCGGTCCCAAGGACGGTGAGGACCCCCAGGAAGAGCAGAGACCTAGGGCAGAGCGGGGGAGGTGAACGGAGTCGTGACAAGCCTGACCTCTGCCTCCCCCAATGTGGGAGCCACGTGGGATGGTCAGCAGCTCCGGGCTTAGAGGTTAGGTTAAGGTGACCAGATCGTCCCGCTTTTGGCGGGACAGTACTGATTTCTAACATTTTTTCCTGAGTCCCGTGGCATTTTTAAAAAAGTCCCAATTTTTGGAAAGAAGATTTTCTTTTTCCAAAAATAGGGACTTTTTTAAAATGCCGTGGAAACTTTAGATCCACGTGGAAACTTCCAGGCCACTGGGCTCCCATGGTCAGTGAGGCTCCTGAGGGACAAGGCTGGCCTAAGCCACCCTGGGCATCCAGCAGGAGAAGCAGAATGCCTCTGGCGCTACGCGGACCTGGTTCTAGTCTCAGTGTCACCGTGTGAGCTGGGAGGTTGGGCCCGGAGCCTCCATGTCCTCTCCTGGGAAATGAGCCCGGGGGGCCTGTGGGAGCAGAGCGTGCAGGGTCTGGTCTGGCCATGAGCCCTACCACTGCCATTTCCCCCCACTCCCGCCCGCAACACCCCAGCCTTAGACAGGAAGCTGGGCCAGAGAGCGGTGGCTCTGAGCAGGCACTGGCCCTGGCCCTCGGGAACCCTCTCTTCTGGCCTCGGCTACCCGTCTGTAACCGAGGTTTGCAGGGTCTGGAAACCCAGGGACCAGCGTGGATGCCTTCCATTCAGAGTCCAGGTCTGACATTGAGGACACTACCCTTCCCGCACTGGAAGTCTGTCCTCCTAGCCCCGTGGTCAGCAAACTGCGGCCCTAAGGAGCCAGTGGGGCTGGGGGCAGGAGGGCAGGGCTGGACTCCTGGCAGCAAAGCAGGCCCGCCTTTCTCTGAGCCTCAGGGTTCCATTCGTCAGTGGGAACCTCACTTCCTGCCCGGCTGCTGCTTCTCAGGGGCCGATGGCCGTGATGGCGGGCACATTGGACCCGCCACGCTCTGCGCTTTACAGAATCAGCTCCTCTCCCGCTCCCGGCCACGCTCGGAGGCAGAACCATGATTATCCCCATTTGTCGGATAGGAATCCCCGAGGCATAGAGGGGTGGGGCGACTTGTCCAATATCACACAGCTAGGAAGCAGCAGAGCTGGGATTTGAACCCAAGCCATCTGGCTCCAGAAACCATCGCATTAACTGCTACACACACCGCTGATGGTTGGGGTCTGGAATTCTGGCTTTTTGAGATGAGGTGCGCCCCCACCCAGAGCTCCCCGGGGCCAGCAGGCAGCAGACCTGCTAGGCAGGAACATGGAGAGGAAGCAGGCCAGCGGGTTGGCCATGGAGCTGAGGGCGGCGGACAGGTGGTAGGCCACCGGCCCGTAGGACAGGCAGGAGTAGGTCTGCACGGAGGGCAGCACGCCGTTGGTGAGCGCGTTCACGAAGGCCACCAGGCCGTAGATGAAGAGCAGGTGGGCCGGGTAGCGGGCGGCCGCCTTCTCCTCGGCAGGCTCCGGGCCCCCGCCGCCGTCCGCCCGGCCTGCTGGGCCCCGGTCCTCCTCCAGAGGCCGGATGGAGTAGAGGGTGACCTGGGAGGTGAGCAGGTCTTCGGTGGAGGTCTTACAGCGCCTGGGGGGACGCTGGAGCAGGAAGAAGGCAAGGAGGGAGCCGGCCATCATGGCGGAGAGCAGCAGGAAGAAGACCAGGGGCGAGAAGTGGGCGGGGAGGTAGCGGCTTTCCAGGTGGACCCGGGTGGGCGCGGCCCCGGTGAGGCCGGGCGCAGGAGTGCTATCACGTCCCTGGGGAAGACAAAGCGAGGGTCATCAGGTCCCTGGGTGACGCTGGGACACAGGGGAAATCACTCATAATGGTAACATGGCCGAAACCGGTTTGGCTCAGTGGATAGAGCGTCGCTCTGTGGACTGAAAGGTCCCAGGTTCGATTCCGGTCAAGGGCATGTACCTTGGTTGCGGGCACATCTTCAGTGGGGGGTGTGCAGGAGGCAGCTGATGGATGTTTCTCTCTCATCAATTGTTTCTAGCTCTCTATCTCTCTCCCTTTCTCTCTGTGAGAAATCAATAAAATATATTTTAAAAAATAATGGTAACACGCAACAGATTTGATGCATTATTATTAATTAGTGTGTGATGAATAATGTACCCGTGACAACTGAGGTCACGATAATACATGCTCGTGTGGACCGACGGCTGACTGGGCACCACACTTCTCATGCAACAGCTGGTGTGCACCTCCTGGCAGCCCTGTCGTGCAGGGGGGGACTGTTTCCCGGATTTGGTCCTGGGAGTATGTGGCAAAGCCAGTCCACTTGGTTGTTTCGGACTCAGCTCTGCCTCTTCCTACTCTACAGCCCTCCAAGGCCGGCAACTACATGCATGTTCAGAGGAGGGCGGGCACAGCCAGTGGGAGAGCAGCCCCATCGGACTCACTCTGAGATGATGTGGCCTAGTGTGGCCAGATAGATCTCTTTTCAAGAGCTACCTGCCTGGCCGGTGTGGCTCAGTGGTTGAGCATGGACCTGTGAACCAGGTGGTCACAGTTGGATTCCAGGTCTGGGCAGATGCCCGGTTTGTGGGCTCCATTCCCAGAGTGGGGCAGGCAGGAAGCAACTGATCAATAATTCTCTCACATCATTGATATTTCTATCTCTCTCTCCCTCTCTCTCTTGCTCTCTGAAACCAATAAAACAATTTTTTTTTTTTTTTTTAAAAGAGCTACCAGCCTTAGCTGGTTTGGCTCGGTGGAAAGAGCGTCAGCCTGTGGACTGAAGGGTCCTGGGTTCAGTTCCGGTCAAGGGCACATGCCTGGGTTGTGGGTTTGATCCCCAGTGGGATACATGATGATTCTCTTTCATCATTGATGTTTCTATCTCTCTCCCTCTGCCTTCCTCTCTGAAATATATATATATATATATATATATATATATATATATATATATATATATATTTTAAAAAAGAGCTATTCTTAGAAAATTTCTCAGGTGAATAAAGGTTGAGGTAACCCAGGGAAAGAGCAAAGAAAGGGTGTTACTACTTCTAATTTTGGCTTTTTAACTGGATTGCTTACTGAGAGTCTGAACAAAACCTTTGCTGGTTAAATGAGATCCTGAACTCTCTTTGGTTCAAAAAGAGAAAGGACAAAAAAGAGAAAGGACACTTGCATCCCCAACCTGAATAGCCAATGGGTTGACCACAGCTGGTGCAGACCCTGAATCCGGAGCGGGAGGGCAGCCGATTCCGGAGAAGCTGGTGGGAGCCCAGGAGGAGGGCAGATGCCTTAGCATGGGTTTATACCCAGAGGGTGCTGTGCCCGGAGTGCCACGGGCCTGGTCGGTCCTGTGGGCCCTTGCTCAGGTCTCCCTAGGTGACTGGGAGTCTTGTGGGGCGGCCAGAGAAAATGCCCTACGGGGATACAGGGGTAGCCTGTAGGGATAGCCACTACATTTGGCCGTCTGAACACGTGTTCATAAAGGCTGGTTTCCCCCAAAAGTCTGTTCAGACTCTATGGATCTCAAAGAAAAAACTCAAATTAACGTGGGAACCCACACCTCCAAGGCCAACAAGCCCAGGACAGTCAGCCCCCGTTGATGCTGAGATGGCTGCGATGAGGACCCTCTGGTGCTTCTAAATTCAACGTTGGTGCATCCCGTTAGGAAACGCTGGCTGTAAAACTAGGCAGAACGAATGGAAGACCTATCTAATGGGTCTCTTGAAGCTTCAAAAAGAGGATTTAGATGAATGGATCCACCTGCGATGCTGGTTAGGCGTCAACCCAGATCTATGAGGTATTAAAAATAGCTGTCCCGCCAAAGCCGGTTTGTCTCAGTGGATAGAGCATCGGCCTGCGGACTGAAGGGTCCCGGGTTCGATTCCGGTCAAGGGCATGTACCTTGGTTGCGGGCACATCCCCAGCAGGGGTGTGCAAGAGGCAGCTGATCGATGATTCTCTCTCATCGATGTTTCTAACTCTATATCCCCCTCTCTTCCTCTCTGTAAAAAAATCAATAAAATATATATTTAAAAACAAAACAAAGCAAAAAACCCCCCGCTGTCCTTGTTTTAAAAGGGGAAGGTCATGTGGCACTTGCTTTGTCAACGGCAGATGTAAATTGTAAATGTCACTGAAAAGAATGGGGTCCAGCTGTGCTTTTATAAACGAGTGTTTATAAAAGATAGGTGTGTTGTAAATGTGAAATAATTTTCTACCTCCGGACATTGCTGACATTAATATAAAGGCAAGGGCTAAAATTCTCACGAAATGGAAACCAACTCAAATGCTTCTCAGGTTCGCATGATCTCAGATTGATCCTTAGTTCATAAAACTTAGTTAAGGTCCATTGGTTTGAGTGGAACACATCATTTTCTTTAGTTGTTGATTTTAAACATAATATTTATACAGGGTGTCCCCCCAAAATGTACGCCCTTTATCAGCTGGCAGCTCAATTTTGAAAGTGAAATGCATTTTGATAAACACCGACTTTAGAATTATTCAGAGTGTGTGTATACATTTTTGCGGGGTAGCCTGTATTTTACCTGGGTTTACAAAAATAAATTCATGTTAATCATTGCATTTGATGTCTATAAAATACGTTTCTAAAATAAAGTGTCTTCATAAACTTAAGCTAAAGAATGCCAGTTGCTTACTTCTTAGTTTCCATTAGAAGTTGCTCAGGGTTAAATCTCAGTGTGTTTGGGAATACATCCCCAGCATTCCAGAGGCTCCCTGGGACACCCCGGAGGTTGGTTTGTCTGTTAAATGGCTGCAGGGAGCGTTGTGAAATGGACAAGGAACAGCCGCTGGGGTAGCTGTGTGGTTAAACAATGCTGGTGAATTAACCAGCCGGGCCCTGGGAAACCCGGCACAGCCTGGTTCTCTGCAGCTCCCTACCAGTAGGCGTTTAACTCAGGAGCCAATGGTCCCTGCGCTCAGAGTCTCATTTGATTGGTCTGGCTGCCGGGGTAGGGGGGGGGGGCGTAGTGTGTTTCAGCAGCTCTCTCAGGTCAAAGGCATGGGGCTACCCAGCATTTCGGAAATCTGAGCCCGCCCGCCCGCCCGCCCGCCCTGCCATAACTGCATGTGGAGCGCAATGCTGTGGGGTCAGTACCTGTGGGAGGTCGATCATCCTCGGGGTGCTGGGGCTGGAGGCGTTGTAAGGTGTGTCGGTGACGTTGACGCAGGTGGTGAGGCCCGAGCCCTGGGCAAGAGCCACCAGGGCGGGCAGGAGGCCGCTGAGCCCCTCGCCCACAAAGTAGGTGGTGAGGTAGTGGGAGGACAGCTGGCTCATGAAGGGCAGGAAGGTGACAGAGGAGGTGCAGTCCACCAGGGCCAGGAAGAAGGTGAGTACCATGAAGGTGATGCTGTGGCGGCCGCCCTGCACCCAGGAGGTGACGTTCCAGAGGAAGGCGAAGAGGGCGCAGGCGACGGTGCCCACGCCCAGCACGGCGAAGATGACGGGCACCTCGGACACGTGGCCCGGCCGGAAGTGGTGGAGCAGCGTGAAGAGGAGGGGCCCGATGTTGGCCAGCTGGATGGTCACCGTGAGGTAGGAGGGCAGGTTCCAGCCCTCGGGCAGCTCCGCCACCAGCAGGGGCAGCTCGACCCAGATCCCGTTGATGGCCACCCAGGAGCCCATCCCGAAGGTGCAGACGAGCAGGTGTGTCAGGAGGGCCATGGTGATACCCGTCCTGGGTCAGAGGCCGCCACCTCCCAGACCAGCCGGCAGCAGGGCCTACGGAAGCAGAAGACCAGGTGAGCAACGTCAGGTTCACCATCTAGCTCAGGGGGGGAACGTCCTGCCCACAGGCGGCATGAGGCCCGAGAAAGCATTGGGTCTGGCCCTGCCGAGGCCTTAGGGGTGAGCTAATGAAATGTCTGACCACATGGAGCAGGTTGATTTGTAAGTTGACAATTTTGTAGAATGGCGTTGTACGTATCCAAATGGCCCTTGGCAAAAAAAAAAAAAAAGGTTCCCATCACTGGTAGCAAAAGACTGGGCTTTGGGCTCCCAGTTTTCTCATATCTCTCCCTTCACGGACAAGTGCGCTCTGTGTGTGTGTGTGTGTGTGTGTGTGTGTGTGTGTGTGTGTGTTAAGCAGGAATCATGAGCAAATCCCTTTATAACTAACCTTCCAGGAGGAAAGACGTTTTAACCAGGACTTGTAAAGCCTGAGATCACCAAAGAAAAGTTTGATACATTCAACTGCGTAAATATCAAAACAGAAAAGCAAACAAACAAAAAATAAACACAACAGAAGCCGTGGCCAGGTGGCTCAGTTGGCCGGACTGTCATCTCACACACCACACACCGCACACCGAAAGGTCTCGGTTCGGCTCCCCGTCAGGGCACGTGCTTGGCTTGCAGGTTCGATCCCTGGTCAGGGAGCTCTTTCTCTCTCTACAGTCAGTAAACGCATACCCTCCAGTGAGGAGTAAAACAACCACAAAGTACTCCCTGGGAAAAATGCACCAGCAAGACCAAGAGACAGGTGACACCCTGGGAGGGAAGTATCTGCACTGTAAATCACAGACAAAAAGGCTCGTCTTCCTAGAAAATTAAGAACAAAAAGACCCAATAGCGAGGTGGGGAAAGGGTATGAAAAGTTCAGAGGAAAAAGTACAGGTAAGTCTTAAACGTATGAAAAGAGGATCACCCTCCTTCACGGGGAATGTCACTGAACAATGACCCCAACCTGCCGTTTCTCACCATGAGGTTGTCCCAAAGGGTGCCTGCCCTGGACAAAACCATGCGAGCATGAGGTTACTGCTTCCTGCAGCCTTGCTGGTAACAGCAAAATATAGAAAATGACCCACGTGCCCGTCAGTAAGGGAGGGCTGAGAACAGGAATGCCGGAGTCTGACGGAGGAATGAGGAACTCAGGAGCCCTCCCCGGCTGACGGGCAGGTGATGTCGATAAGGGAACAAAACCGAGCTAGGTAGACCGTGTGCTGCCTTCTGGATCCAGGAAACATGAAAACGAATACAGCTTTGCTTGTATTTGCATAAAGCCCCTCAAGAACACACGGGAACTCCGGGGCTGTGGGTGGCGCCTACACAGAGCGATTTCTAGCCCTGGCCAAGTGGCTCAGTTACCCGGAACATCATCCGGGACATCCAAAGGTTTCGGGTTTGATTGCCAGTTGGGCACATAAGTTGTGGGTCCTATCCCTGGTTGGCATGCGTGAGGGAGGCAACGGATGGGTTTTCTCTCACATCGATGTTTCTCTCTCACTTCCCCTCTTTCTCTCTCTCTCAGATCAATAAACATATTCTCGGGTGAGAATTAAAAAAAAAAAAAAGATTTGTAGACCTTTTTATACAGTGTTGACTATATACACAAGTAATTATACTATTACAAAGGTTACTTAACATAAAATTCCAACCTGGAATTACTTAAATTCCAACCTGGCATTTTCTTGTGACAGTATAGCACTCCCTAGCTGGACAGTCCCTAGGAGACCAGCTAACTCTGACCCTTCGGAGGACCGTTCTGTCACCTGCTCACCACCAACCCATGAGCTGCGTCACACCGGAAGCCGTGTCACACTGGCCGTGCCCTGTGCTCTTTGATTCCCCTCAGTATGAGCAGAGATAGAGGAGAGGCCAAAAGCGAGACTCTGGAGCCAGCTCCTGGGCTTGAACCCAGCTCTGCCACTCACTGGGGTGACGCTGGGCATGGGACTGCCTCTCGGGACCTCACTGTCTCCCTCTGTAGACAGAGGATGATGACGGCACCCACGAGACCCTGGTGTGTTAGTGAGCTGCTGGTGTCCGGGCTGTGCCTGCCACATGGTAGGCACTAGCTGAGGTCAGCTGTTATTACTGTGGTGAAATGCCAGGTTTGTGGGCATCGGCATTGTGTTCTAATTCCCATGAAAAAATGGACGTGTGGCTATTCAGATTTAAAAAGGGAGAATAATTCCCCAGGAGGAGCCACAGGCAAGTGCCAGCGGTACCTGCGCCATCCTGGAGGAGAGAAATGCCGGAGTCGGAGTCAATTGGGCCAGTGCCCTCCTTTTACAGATGGGAGACAGGACGGGTCTGCAGGGAGGGAGGGATTCTCCGGAGAGATGGAGAGACAGAGGGGAGGTGGATTTGGAGCCAGTCCCCTGAAGCACTTGTCCCCGCCCCCCATGACCCTGTGGTGACCCCTGATCCTTTGGTTCTACGCAGTTCCTCAGGTGAGGATTAAAAAGAGGGGGGGGGGGGGGGGGGGGGGGGGGGGGGGGGAGAGAGAAAGAGAGAGAGAGAGGGAGAGAGAGAGATGGGAAACAGAGATCTGCTGTGTCCCCTGGCTCCCCGGCTGGGGATGGACTGGAAACTAGGTATGTGCCCTGCCCCAGAATCACAATCGAACCTGAAACCTTTTGTTGCCGGGGACAACGCCCAAGCACCTGAGCCGCCAGGCCAGGGTGCGGTGTCTCTGGGCCGGCCTCACTCCGGGAAGCCTTGACACCACAGCAAGGTCTCCCCACCCAGACCTGACTCTCAGGGCCCCTCTCCCTTCCTCCTTCCTCCACGGCCTCTCCTTGCCCTGGGAAGCTGCAGCAGAATGCAGTCTGACCTGCTTTCAACCCGACCCGACCTGACCTGACCCGCCGCCTCCTGTCCAGCCTCAGCTAAGCCGCCTCCGCCTGTCTCTCACTGTGAGGCTGGCCTAGCAGCCAGGCCTGGCTCTGGGGCACCACAGGGGCCCCTGGAGAAGGGCAGCTCCAGGCAATGGCCGCCTGCCTGGCCACTCCCGTCCCTGTGTGTGCTCCGAGCCCGGAGCGTCCCGCAGGGCCCGGGCCCAGGAGGACCCCGTCCCAGGATGCCCAGCGCTGGGCCCTGGGGCCCCTCCTGTCAGGGTTTCTGGTGTGGACACGTCCAGGCACATTTCCGGGGAGACGGAGGTCTCAGAGGGCAGAGGGCTGCTGAGGGGCCTGGCCCTGAGGGATTTTCGGCTCAGGGTCTGTGGATTGGTCCCCCTCGGCCATCGCCAGACAGCAGGCCTGTTCTTTTGGTTACTGAAACCCGCATGTTGGGTCGTGGTGTACAAAACTCAGGATTTCTGGGTTCCTGGGATGGTATGTCAAATCTCACAATAAAAATTGGGATGGGGGTGAGGTGTATTTTATGTCTTCAATCTTACATTTTTTTAATCTCTCTAGTCATTCATTTTTACTGTAAAAGAGAAGATTCAAGCGTTTGCCACAGATTGGAAAGAAAGACTAGAGCTTGCCCCGGGGGAATACACGATGCCTGGTTTGTTGAGAATATTCTGGAAGACCACACCAGGTCTACCTGCCCAACTGGCAACCGTCACTCTCGGCCCTCTTTCACTTAGGGCGCTTGCCCGGCCCCAACTGGCCCCATAAACACTGGGACCCCTTGTTTCTGAGCCGCCAGGTTCCCTCACTAGCTGGGGGCTCACTGGGGGCTGCAGTCCAGTCTTGGGCCTCTCTCTCCATCCCAGACTCTGGGCCCTGCCTCCAGCCACCTTACTGCTCTCTCCTGCAGTAAAATTCAGAGCCAGACACCTGGGGTCAAGCTCCAGCTTCCACCCTTCCAAGCTGAGCAGAGGACAGCCTCCTGGCCTGACACCTCTTCTGCAAAACGGGGAGGCTCCCAGGACTGGCAGCAGAATGGTAATGACCTTGAACTTGCAAAATGTTGGAATAGTGCTGGACACAAAGCACGTGCTCAATGAGACACGAACTGTTCTGTTCTTCCCATTTCAGCAGATACATGAACTGCATTTGAAAACAGGCGACTACCCGGAACACACTTTTGGATACAACACAAGTGATTCCTGGTGGCAAGATTTTGCTATCACTTCCTCTTAATCAGTCCCTAAGGGGTGACTCAGCACCTACTCTGCTGTCGGAGCTCCGGGAGATGAAAGCAGAAAAGCCACAGGGGATTTCCCCCGAGGAAGGTACGAGGAAGAGGTGTGTGGGCAGCCGAACTCAAGTGCAACCGCCGGCGAAGGTGCTGCTGGGACTGAATGGTGGTGGTGGGTAGGTGTGTGTGGGGGGGGGGGGGGAGAGGGGGAGAAGGACGGGTGGAGTGGAGAAGGGAGAGGCTCTCTTTCAAAGTCCCAGAGCTCTGGGACGTGAGGGCAGTCTGGCTGCGACATCCGTCACCCCACGGATCGCCAAGGCTGACTCCGCTGGTCTGGATGGTGAGGCGGGTGTCCCCATCCTCCCTCACCGTCCCTGTGCATAATCCTTCTCCCCCCCCCCCCCCCTCCCCAGCTGCAGCATCTGGGTCAAAGAGGACAGCCTTCCCTCATGGAGGAGGGGCCCATTCTTCGGTCCTGGATATACGAGTAGCTGCCCCCCCCCCCCCCCCCCTTTAGAACCTTTAAGCAAGCAGGCTCTCAAAGCCAGGAGCCCTGCTGCAGCGTCTCAGCTCCCCACGGTGCTGCCCAAGACCCAGAACCGGGCGAGGCTGCCCTCTCCGCCCTAGACCAGACTGGTGTAAGCAGCAGAATCCCAGGGGGAAAAGCTGCTCTGAGCCAACTCTGACGGTGGAAGGAAGAAACAGGCAGAGCATGTGTGATAGTCCAAGGCTGAGGCTGTCGGATGCTCATTAGCCATTCTTTCCTTCTTCCTTAGTGGTCCCAGGGTTTTGGTTGGGCAAACAGCCACTGAGCTGAAGGACTACATTTCCCAGCTTCCCTGGGCGCCAGGCATGGATATCTGATCAAGCCTGGACTGCTGGCAGTGTGCGGTTCTCTTCCTCTATCCTGCTGTCTGGAACTCCAGCAGCCACACTGCTCCATGGGGGATGGTGTGGGGCTGGTGGAGACGGGACCTCCCCTGGACTCAGGGCTCAGAGCCACCACACCAGCCCTGCTCTGCCTGCCACCAAATTATTGTACTTACTTAATGTTCTTTAAGCTGTAAATAAGCTTCTATTTTGTTTGACACTCTTATATATAGCAAAACACTGCCCAAGTGTATAGAGAGATATACCCAAGGTTGTATATTGACCAATGATAGCAACCAAAATTAGTATCTCCTTTAGTACGAATGCCCCAACTAAGAAAGTCAGGTCCTGCAGGCCCCAACGAGGATTTGATGAAAATGAAGATCAAACAGAATCAGTGACTGAGAGACATCGTACAGTGGCCCCAAAAGATTAGGAGCAAACATGGGGCAAAGGTCTGTCCCAGCCCCGACAGCTTAAGGTGCTGGATGGAGAGTGATCAATGCTGCGCCTGATAAACAGGAATAAGTGAACAATTAACGGGAGCGAATGCACAGAAGCCGGTCACCTTTGCCATCTCAGGAGCTATTAAACCGAAGAGAGGGTTCAGCGAGGAGGCGGTTACACATTGACGGAGCCGCCGTGGTCCCACATGGAACCACCTCCAGAAAGCAGGGCTTGTGTGGAGTTGTCATTTGGGAAAAGCAAGCAAAGCTAGGTTTCTCTCTTACGTAGCCCCCACACCCTCCAAAGGCATCCGTTGCAGAGGGTCCAAATATTTTAAAAATTGAACAGAAAATCCGGTGGTCCTGATCGATTCTAATGAGCTGAGAAATTCTATGCCTAGCGATGACACAGCGCAACATGCACCTCACGTGTCTGTGGCGATGCCGGTGTGAACAAAGTGCGTGCGTGGCCAGCCCAATCACAGAATACAGCTCAGCCCTCGATGGTGTGGCTCCGTGGATAGAGCGTCGGCCTGCGGACTGAAGGGTCCCAGGTTCGATTCGGGTCAAGGGCATGTGCAAGGGCACCTGCAGGCTCGATCCCCAAGGAGGGGACGTGCAGGAGGCAGCAGATCAATGATTCTCATCATGGATGTTTCTCTCTCCCTCTTCTTTCCTCTCTGAAATCAATAAAAACATATATTTAAAAAAAAAAAAAAAGCGTACAGCTCACACCAGTGTGTGCAGTGCATGATCCTTGATAACGACAATCAAGGGCTGTTGCTGGCTTATGCGTTCACTGTGCTGTACTCGGTGTTACGGTGGCGTGTACTCTTCCCACTTATTAACACAGAAGCTTTCTGCAGGACAGTGTGCCACGTTACATCGGCAGCGGCCTCACACATCTCCTTTCCCACATCTCTCGATTGCATCCCCTTCTCTTGTAAGTGAATTAGCCTGGTGAGATTTTGTACAGACACACGCCGAACAGGCTTGTTACAGTACAGACAACAACATCAACATCGCCCAAGGACACCTCTCAGAATGCCCCTGCTGTTACGCGGCATGTGACTGCAATAAAAATGCCCTGAGAACATCGTATAGATAACGTATAGATAACGTATAGATAGCAGAGACTGCCGAGGACCTGGGGCAGAAAGGAGCCTGGGCCAACGTGGCTGGAGTAGTGAGCGGGCCGGATGGGAAGACAGGATTTGATTTCTGGGCGATAGGTCACCTGCACTGAGAGCTGGAATCCCCACGCCCCACAGCGCTGAATTCTCTGGATGCCGACCGAGGCCCGGCACAGCTGTGCAGTCTGGCTCTCTGAGTCTCTGTTTCCTCATCGGGAAACCCATGTCCTCTGTGGCTCCCCGGCCTTGGCCTGCTCGCGGCCAGCCACACCAACTGCCACGTGCTTTGAACAGAGGAGACACAGCCTTCGGTGACAAAGGCTGCAGGGACCAAGCCAAACAGGATCCCTTTTCAGGAGCTCCAGCCTCCGCAGCACGTGGGCTGGGAAGGCGGCAGGCCCTGGAGACCTTCTGCCATCCTGAGAGACTCTCAGAGGCACTCCCATAAAAGGCGGGCAAACCCAGGAGCCAGGAGAGCCCCCAGGCAGGAGGTCTGCTTTGCATTTTTGGAGTTCAAAGAAGCCCAAGGGAGGAAGGGCGAGGGAGGAGTCCCCGCCGAGGGCCAGGGCGCCCTCAGGGTGTGCCTGGGCCACTCCTCCCCCCTCCCAGGCTGGAAGGGTCCTGTCTGACCTTGACCGTCAGAGCCCAGGCCGCCCCTCTCCTGGACTCCTGCCTGCTCTCTGCATTATCCCTCCACAGTGCGGTGGCACATCCGCTGCTCCCAGGGTGTGTCTGTGTCTCTCTGCTGAGTGCTGGTCTCTCCCACAGGGAGTGCCATCTCCAGGAGAGCAGAGCCCTGTCCTCGGCCCCGTCCAGGTGGCCATCTGGGACTGCAGGGCCTGGCCACCACCGAGCCTGCCTTCGCCACGTGAGCTGAGCTGGCCAGGGTGGCCCCGGGCAGTGCCAGGGCCTGACACGGTCTGGACAAGGGTCTGAGTCAGTGTTGTCTCGGGTGCCAAGCTGCTGGAGAAGCTGGTCCAGAGCCTTCGGAGAGTCCTGCAGCCCCCTCCCACTCTCAGGGCCTGCCCCCCCCCCCCTCAGGGCCTGCTGAGCACCCCCTCCCCCCCACCCCCCTACAATAAGGGTGGGGGGGAGGTTGTCTGGGCAGGAGCAGGATGACTCTGAGTCAACAGAACAGGGAGACTGAGAGCATCAGAACCAGAAACCTAGAGGGAAAGACGGAGAAAGAGAGAGACACACACACACAGAGACAAGAAGACCCAAGAGTAGAAGTGGGAATGGGCAGAAAGAGACAGGGACGTCAAATGGGGGGAGCTGGGGCGAGGAGGAGAGGGAGGCAGAGAGCAGCTGCTGTGCTGGGTGCCCGGCCTGCTGCAGCCGCCCAGCTGCTCAGCTCACACCTGCTTGTACCAAGAGGCCTTCCTTCTCCGCCTCTCCCGGCGGCCCCAGAGTCCCCGGGGCCTCAGCCAGCTCCGTGCTCCCACCTCACAGATGTGGGGAATCCGAGGCCCACATCCTGTCCAGCCCCCAACCCCACGACAAGGCATCCAGGCCTGTGCTGACTGCTGTGTACCCTCAGGCCAGCTGCTCACCCTCTCTGGGCTCACCTCTCACCAGAGGCTCTGAGGAAGCAAGGAGATGAAGGAGCCTGGTCCTGTGAGTTCCCGCCCTCCCCTCCGTGGCCTCCCTCCCAGGGCCTGGAAGCGCTTCAGGCCTCCCATAGGCCTGGCCTTGGCTGGGTTCCCCTCCCCATTTGGGCCTGTCCCAGCCCCCAGTCCTGGTGCCAGGCTGGTGAGGCTGCATGTGCTGCAGCGGGGCAGAGGTCACGGGGGCCCAGCGTTTGGTCAGGAGGGAAGGAGGCCCTTCTTCCCTCCCTCCCTCCTTCCCCTCCCGCCTGGCAGGCTGAAACTAGGGGAAAGGCCACGAGCCACCTTCTGTCCCCAGACGAGGGCCCCGCCTCCACCCTGAGCCGGGTACCCCCTACCAGCGACCGGCCCCTGGTACCTGCGGCTGTGCCCTCTCGGGCCTGAGCTGCCCAGCTCTGCGCCTCTCCCTGCAGGTCTGTCTGGTTTTCCAGCGGCTCTGCTGGGAGGGCAGGAGGCGGCTTGCTTAGTATTAACCTGTCCCCGCCCCTGAAGTGTGTGTGTGAGGGGGGAGGAGGGAAGGGGGGGTGTGGGGGGGAGTGGCCAGGACTTCCAGAGCCTCAAAGAGCCTACTGTGTGCCTGGAAGCCCCCTAGCTGCCCACCTGGGCGCAGGTCCCGGTTACCTTAGGGACAGGAGCAGTAAAGGGCTGACCTTACCCGGCGCTTCCTGACATTCCGGCCGCTTCCTGGGCCTGATCTCTGGAAGGCCAGGGACCTGCCCAGGTCGCTGGCTCTGGCCACACCCCAGGGCGACTGTGTTCTTGGCCATGGGATCCTGGCTCCAGGGAGCAGGAACTCCTGGCGCCTCAGAGAGCCTCTTGGAAAGGGGAGGTGAGAATAGTGCCCTCCGCCTTGGGCAGAGATCCTGGCGGCCAGACTTTGCTCAGTGAGCTGAGGGCGCCAGGCACAGCTCGACGGGCACTTCATGTCCCCCTTTTACAGATGAGGAAACAGAAGCCCTGGCAGAGCTGGTCCCTGTGCCCCGTGACCGATGGTCCTCTGACAAACCGTCACAGTTCCCGTCTGATCAGCCCTGCCAGTCATCCTCGGCCGTAGGTAGGTGGGTGCTGCTTTTACAGACGGGGAAGCGACCTGCTCACGGCGCTAAAGCCAGCCGGCGGTCGGGACTCAAACCCACTCCCGTGGCGTGACTGACGTGAACAGCGCGGAGCCTGGTGCTCAGTCGATGCTCACTGAACGCTGGCTCGGATCAATGGTTCTGGCTCGCGTTTTGCATCGCTCTCCGAGAGAGGCATTTACTTACCCAGCGATCCCTCTCCCAGATGCAGGCGTGGGATGAGAGGCGAGCAGGCCTGGACCCTGCCCTCAGCAGGAGAAGGCCCAGGAGGTGTTGGGAGCAGACACTTCTGGGTCACAAGAACGGGTGCCAGGAGCCCGAGAGGCTTGGCCTCCGCCTGCAGCTCCGCAGCCCTGGGCCCTCCCCCCAGAGAGGCACCCACCCCTCCCACAGGAAGTTCTCCCTGGGGGGGACCCACCCCCTGCTGATACGGCCTCACGCTGGCAACCCCCCAGGTGCCTCTGGTGTTATTTTTAATCTAAAACTGTATCTTTATCACCAGCGGACAAAGACTCCTCTGTTGCTTATCAAGCCGAGGAAAATACCGGTGACTCCCACCTCTGCCCGCTCCCCTTCCCACTGGACCGAGAAGCCCTGACCGCTTTATCGCTGCTCTTCCCCGAGGGTAGCCTTTGCAGCTCCCGCTGGAACGGCTCGCCATTCAATGATTTCCTCTCCCCATCGCTGTGTCCACCTCTCCCTCCCCCTTCCTCTCTGAAATCAATGAAAACATATTCAAGCTGAAACCGGTTTGGCTCAGTGGATAGAAAGCACATGTGTCAAACACAAGGCCCGCGGGCCAAATTCGTCCCGCCAGGCCTTGCAATGTGGCCCGCACCGCGCTGTCATCACTGCACTCCGCTGCGTTTCCATCACAATGACAGTTTATGACGGTTCAGTAAACCATTTGGCCCGAGATTTAGGCTGGATTTTAGATTTTGGCCCCTTCTCTGATTGAGTTCGACACCCCTAGGATAGAGCATCGGCCTGTGGACTGAAGGGTCCCAGGTTCTATTCTGGTGAAGGTCATGCACCTTGGTGCGGGCACATCCCCAGTGGGGTGTGTGTGTGTGGGTGTGCAGGAGGCAGCTGATCAATGATTCTCTCTCATTGATGTTTCTGGCTCTTTATCCCTCTCTCTTCCTCTCTGTAAAAAAATCAATAAAATATATTTAAAAAAACACACATATAGAAAGAAAGAAAGAAAGAAAGAAAGAAAGAAAGAAAGAGAGAAAGAAAGAAAGAAAGAGAGAAAGAAAGAAAGGAAGAAAGAAAAAAAGAAAGGAAGGAAGGAAGAGGAGGGCGAGGAGACCTGGAGCGGGCCGGTTGAAGAGTGGGGAGAGCCGGTGGAGACACTCTGAGGGGCGCAGAGACCCGGGTCTGGGAAGGGCCGGACCTGGACCTGCTCCGTTATCCTCACGCACCCGAATGAATGCAGCTCGCTTCCTCGCTGGGTGCATCAGATTTGCCATCAAGAACAATGTGTGGCACTTTACTTCACCACCAGCTTTTGGGGAGATACTGTACGTGTGGCTCAGTGGTTGGGCATTGACCTATGAACCAGGAGGTCAGGGTTCGATTCCTGGTCAGGGTACATGCCCAGGTTGCGGCTCAACCCCCAGTTGGGGGGGTGGGGGGCCTTGCAGGAGGCAGCCTATCGATGATACTCTCTCATCATTGTTGTTCCTATCTCTCCCTCTCCCTTCCTCTCTAAAATCAAATACATATACATATATATATATGTGTGTGTGTGTATATATATATATATATATATATATATATTTAGAAAAAGAACAATGACGCCAAAACTGGTTTGGCTCAATGGATAGAGGGTCGGCTTGGGGACTGAAAGGTCCCGGGTTCGATTTCGGTCAAGGGCATGTACCTTGGTTGCGGCACATCCCCGGTAGGGGGTGTGCAAGAGGCAGCTGGTCGATGACTCTCTCTCATCGATGTTTCTGGCTCTCTGTCTCTCTCCCTTCCTCTCTGTACAAAAAAAGAAAAAAAAAAAAAAGAAAAAGACCAATGTTGCAACAAACACGCTGGCAATCTGTGTTTTTTGTTGTAGTTGTTGTTTTTGTGTGTGTGTGTGTGTGTGTGTGTGTGTGTGTGTGTGTTTTGCCCACGTGGCAGAATACTAGAGACTCAAGTCCCAGCAGCGACCTACAACACACAGAGGGACCACCCAGTTGCCCTCCAAGGACTCCGCACCAGGACCGGAGTTTCCCACAAACCACTTCCCTGAGCGCTCTCCAACAGGTAGATTCCTCTGGCAGGTCATGAGTGCACTTGCATTCCACCAGGAGAGTTTCTAGAGATGAGCTCATCTGTGGCCACACCCCCAGGACAGGCACAGGTAGGTTGCAGACAGGTGTGTTCCTGAATGAGTGGACCCATGAATGGACTAGGGGGCAGGAGGTGCTACCGCAGTTACTGAGAGAAACCACCAGGCGGCGCAGGGAGCCCCAAACTCAGGAAATGAACCTTTTCAAGGGCATCGGGGGCTTAGGACCTCACAGGGGGAACCTAAGTGCGCAGGAGAGAGAGGAGTGATAGGTGGGAGGAAAGGGGAGCAGGGAAAAGGAGACGCGGGAGCAGAGGGTTAGAGGGGCTTCCGAGGGCGCCTCCAGACATCACTTTCTAAGTGATGCAGCTCCTCCTCAAAGGTGAGTCCCATCTCATGGCCATGAATTGAATTCAAGAGTCCAGTACAGAGAGGAGAAACAAGTCGTGCGATAAATATGTACAGTATGATTCTACTTGTATAGAAAAATAATCCTAATAAGTAAATACATATTCTTTAGTGGTATGTGTGTGTGTGTGTGTGTGTGTGTGTCCACCACATATACATCCAAAGGAAAAAATCTGCCAGGATAAATTTCAAATTGACAGCAGTGGTTACCTCTGTTCAGAGGGTCCGGGAGCGGGAAGGGAGCTAGGGAGTGATCCAAGAGGACTTCAGCTTTAATTGAAATGTTTTCTGGGAGTCTATAATCCTAATAGTTGTATAATGTAAAATGAAAAATTACTTTAAAAAAGAAACATGAAGAAAAAGGAAGAAACATCAGATGTCATATTGTGTTGCATTAACAGAGGTCTTACAAGCAGCTCAAGAGAGGTGATAGTCCCCTGTGCTCTGCTCAGAACACACGTGGAATCTCCTTTCATCTCCTCGGTTCTGTCCTGTGTAAAGAACAATGACAGCTCCAGGAACGCCAAGAACTGAGGTAGGAGGAACCATGGTGCCATCTGAGTGGGGAGCCGAAGGGGGAGCAGGCCTGTTACTGAAACTGGTTGAACTGAGCAGGGACGGGGCAGATGCCAAGTGTGTGTGTGGGAATGGGTTCTTGCTGGATGCTCTGGAGCAGGATGGAGATTGTAACCCACAGGGTTCCAAGGTTCCCCATCCAGCTGAGAAGAGATGACATGGGCTGATGTGGGTATTTTGGTTGTGCCTCTTCCTAGAATGTATGCAGGCCCGGGCAGTATGATGCTTCCCAGGAATATAGGAAGCAGTGGATGAGCTCCCAGCATCAGTACCATCATCAGTCAAGTGGTTAAGGGGTGGAATGTGGTCTCTGATTTTATCCAGCTCCAGCAGGGGTCTTCAAACTTCGGCCCGCGGGCCACATGCGGCCCGCAGAGGAGTCTGATCCGGCCCGCCAGGTTTTTTGGGCAGTGAGCGCAGCCGAGGTGTTACAGTAGGAATTAGTAGTTCATATAGTCCGGCCCTCCAGCTCTCTGAGGGACCGTGATCTGGCCCCCACTTTAAAAAGTTTGAGGACGCCTGTAGAGTCTGTTCTCCGTTTCTTATGGCCCTCAACGTGGGGGTTTGCAGTTTCAATAATTAGCCTCCAGAGGTCGCCATCTGACAGGGCTGGAAAAAAAAAAAAGCCAGTCTGGTCTGAACGGAGAAACTGAGACTGGGATTTTTTCCTTCCTTTATTTGCTCTTTCTCTTTCTGTAACTATTGATTGAGATAAACTCTGTCCTGTATATGTGGGGCGGGGAAAGGGGGAGAGAAATACAGCAAGGAACAAGGCCTCTTCAATAGGGTTATCTCTCCTCCCGACTCCACTCCCCGCCCCCCCATGGTTTCAGGCCTTGCGTCTGTTTATGCCTTTAGCCTGCTTCTAGCTCATTTTTGTGAATGGCAAAGGATGGGGTCCGATTTCATTCCTTTGCATGTGGGTACCCAGTGTTCCCAGCAACATGCATTTTATTTTATTAATTGAATGTACAAGGTGGCATTGGTGATGACAGTAGGTGAATTTCAGGCGCTCAGCGTTATAATTTGACACCTGTGCGCTCTATTGCACCAACACCATCGGTGAGAGACCGTCCTTTCCCGGTCGAGTGTTCTGGGCTCCCTTGTCCA